TTTTAGTTTTAAATGAAATTTAAAATTATGGATTTATTTTGGTAGGAAGTGATTTTTTGGCCCACCTTATATACCTTACAAGTAGCTCGTTAAAACTTTTTTTCTCAAAATATAAAAAAAAAAACTAATTTTGTTAGTTTTAAATGAAATTTAAAATTATGGATTTATTTTGGTAGGAAGTGATTTTTTGGCCCACCCTGTATGTCTTAGTATACCGTACAAGTTGCCCATCAAAACTTCTTTCGCCTGTTGAAATTTGAAATAATCGCGAATTTCGAGGCGAATTATCGACGAAGCGAGGAAATTTAAAGTCACGATCCTCGCGTGCTTCCACGTTTGATCCTCGTGGATTATCCGCGACCTTAATCCTTGAAGGGGTAACGCGATTAATTAGCTCGCTGCAGATGCTGCGCAGAAATGAACAGCGTCTCTTCACCTCCAAACGAGCCGGTTATCTATTCTGCGTATCTATTTATAACGAAACGAAGTTACATGCCATTTGCATGACTGCAGCCACTTCAAATTGAATTTGAAATTCGTTGAACTGAAGGAAGAGAGACAGAAGATGGAGAGAGAAGGAAGAGGCCGTTTAACTTCTTAACTAGAAAGAAGCTACTGTCTGTTCGCAGTTCTCAATTTTTTGCCTATCCAAATCCAAACTGTGTTCCATCTCTTCAGCAGTTAATGAATATTACAGTAAAAAGATTTCGATCGTCAAAATCATTTCAATCTCTGCAGCAGTTGACGAACTGTGACTTTGAAAAGGAAAGAAACATTTTTGTAAGAAAAAGAGGAAACGAAACAGAGAACGTTGGCGGCAAATTATCAATTTTTTCATATTGACGTAACAGTGTCGGACGATTAAAACGAGAAAACTTGGAAGTTTTTCTGAGGAAATTTTCCAGCTATCCAATGGGAAGATCTTGATCTTTCGTCGTGTTTCATAGGTGTTTCGATTCAGAAGTTGTGTGTCGTTTCATTCATCGCCGAAAATACGCGGGAATATTATATTTAGCGTGATCGCTAGGGGGAGGGAGAAGTTCGCGGAGAACTACGACAAGTTTATGGTGATACGAACTGTTCCATTCACGTTTTACTTAAGCGACAGTAGTTTCCGCGATCTTGAAACTCGCTCCACTTTCTTCCACGCCATCACCAACTATAAGGTGGAATATTTGCGCGAATGAAACCAAAATGAGAAGTACAGAATATGTATATAAAAATATATGTCCCTTTAAATCTATAAAGCCTGTACAATTATTTTTAATTTTAATGTCAAGTAGCAATGGAAATATTAATTGTAGTGAACTTTCGTTATTTTAATAATTCTAGTACCAAATGAAAGTACCAATTTTCGTTACTCTAATAATTCTGGTACCAAATGAAAGTATCAATTTTTGTTTCTCTAATAATTCTGGTACCAAATGAAAGTACCAATTTTCGTTACGCTAATAATTTTGGTACCAAATAAAAGTACTAATTTTCGTTACTCTAACAATTCTGGTACGAATGAAAGTACCAATTTTTGTTATTCTAATAATTCTAGTACCAAAAATACCAATTTTTGTTATTCTAATAATTCTAGTACCAAATAAAAATACCAATTTTTGTTATTCTAATAATTCTAGTACCAAATAAAAGTACCAATTTTCGTTACTCTAATAATTCTGGTACCAAATGAAAGTAACAATTTTCGTTACTCTAATAATTCTGGTACCAAATGAAAGTACCAATTTTCATTACTCTAATAATTCTGGTACCAAATAAAAGTACCAATTTTCGTTACTCTAATAATTCTGGTACAAAATGAAAGTATCAATTTTTGTTTCTCTAATAATTCTGGTACCAAATGAAAGTATCAATTTTCGTTACTCTAATAATTCTGATACCAAATGAAAGTATTAATTTTCATTACTCTAATAATTCTGGTACCAAATAAAAGTACCAATTCTCGTTACTCTAATAATTCTAGTACCAAATGAAAGTACCAATTTTTGTTACTCTAATAATTCTGGTACCAAAAATACCAATTTTTGTTATTCTAATAATTCTAGTACCAAATAAAAGTACCAATTTTCGTTACTCTAATAATTCTGATACCAAATGAAAGTACCAATTTTCGTTACTCTAATAATTCTGATACCAAATGAAAGTATAAATTTTCGTTACTCTAATAAATCTGGTACCAAATGAAAGTACCAATTTTCATTACTCTAATAATTCTAGTACCAAATGAAATTACCAATTTTCGTTACTCTAATAATTCTGGTACCAAATAAAAATGCTAATTTTCATTACTCTAACAATTCTGGTACAAATGAAAGTACCAATTTTCGTTATTCTAATAATTCTAGTACCAAAAATACCAATTTTTGTTATTCTGATAATTCTAGTACCAAATAAAAGTACCAATTTTCGTTACTCTAATAATTCTGATACCAAATGAAAGTATTAATTTTTATTACTCTAATAATTCTGATACCAAATGAAAGTATTAATTTTCATTACTCTAATAATTCTGGTACCAAATGAAAGTACCAGTTTTCATTACTCTAATAAATCTGGTACCAAATGAAAGTACCAGTTTTCGTTATTCTAACAATTCTGGTACCAAATAAAAGTGCCAGTCGACAATTTTCGCGCGCGGGCATTTCAAATTCCTTCTTACTCTTCCCTTCGTTTTCAACGATCGAAATTCACCGTGTTGCTTTTGTTGCAGAAGACTGGAGCGGCGAAGATTGTTGGTGGCAAGGGGTCAGCATGGCAGTCGGTAAGCATCAGCGATTGTTGGACCAATCTGCGGTCACGTACATACATCTCTCGAGGACGCTTTCGCAGCCTGGTCACGCGTTTCACGCATAATCACGCGCGGCCACGCATCACGCACGCCTCCGACTGCCGCGAGATGCATTTCTTTCTCTTCTTCCCCTTTCTCGTTTCGTTGCGTCGTCGACGAATCGTCGATCGGTTAAATGTCGATTCAAATCGACTACGTATTACCTGAAGACACGGGAACGTTATTTCAGACAGTCGCCAAGAATTTCTAATTCGCTCTTTATTTATAGCCCTGTCCATCGTTTTTCAGGCTGTCAATTCATTCTTTATTCCACGATTCGTTCTCTCTTTTCTTTCTTTTGAAATTTCCAATCTCGATGTTAGAATTTCTAGAATCAGTAGAGTTAGAAGTTACTTTCTATTTTTCCTTTGACTTTGATGAATTGACTAATTGCCGAAGATATTCTTTACATTTCTTTTATGATTAGTTCTTTTTTCTTTTTGTTCTTTTTCCTCTCGTTCTCCTTCGTCAAAGAATGAAATTCTAGGAAATTGAAACTAGTTTTCTTTACTACTTCAGGTTCTTTTAATTCAATCTTGTTTTATTGATGAATGATTGTTGCAAATTTCCTTTAAATTTCGAAACTTCTCCGTTTCTCAGAATTGCACATTTGAGAAATTTCACAGTTAAGCACTTGATAAGAGCTTTAATTAATTCACATAACTGATTGTGTTCACGTACGAAGGTACCCATGGAAACGTAGAGGAAATGTAACGTAAAAGAGGACGATTGAATTTTGCATTTGAAATGGAATAAATATCAGATCCCTCGACAAACATCACGAGAATCGGATTTTTGATATGACGTTTAAACATTTTTGAACACCTTTGAAAAGTGCATGGGGAGACGTGGGAGTCTGGTGAAAGATTTCGATCAGTGAATTCGTAGGCGACAAACGTATTTGAAAACCGTTCTTCTCTTCAATTCTCCTCTCACGTAGCCATTCACCGAATTCCAAAAATCTTTACTTTAATTTTTCACTCTCTTTTTTTCAGTCTTTTACTAAAAAAAAAAGTAACAAAATTTGCTTACTTGCTATTGAACATAATTTTTAAATACTTAGAGATACTTATTATTATTGAATATCGAACTTTGGAGAGCAACGAGTGCGAGAATGTTTGGAAAAGGAATAGAAGAAAATTATATTAAATTGAAATGAAAAAGGAAAGGTTAATTGCAAAAACGAAATTAGGAATGTTTACTAATTAATATATGTGGATTCTAATATAAATATTCTATTCTATTCTAATATAATTATATATTATATATTAATATATCTAATATATATATATATAAAACAATATAATTCTATTCTATTCTATTCTATTATCTTAATAAATTCTATTCTATTCTAATATATCTAATTATACATTATATATTAATATATTAATTATTTAATTATATATTCCAATATAATTCTTATATATAAAACAATATAATTCTATTCTATTCTATTCTATTATCTTAATAAATTCTATTCTATTAATTCTATTCTATTCTATTAATTCTAAATAAAATATAACTAAATAATAAATAATAATAAAATAATAAAATCTATTCTAATAATTCTAAATAAAATATAACTAAATAATAAAATAATAAAATCTATTCTAATAAT